CCCCAAAACCCCAAAACCCCAAAACCCCAAAACCCCAAAACCCCAAAACCCCTGAAAAACTAACTTATATAGGACGAACCTAGGACACTTATAAAATAAATTTATTATCAATGTCAAAGGACGCCAAGCCAAAGGTATCTCCATTCATGAACGCAATTATTGGAGGAATTACTGGAGCTATTGAGATCTCAATCACTTACCCAACCGAGTACACTAAGACTGTCATGCAATTGTACCCAGAAATGAACAAAAAGGGAGCAATCGCCGTTGTCAAAGAGAACATGGCTAAAGGAGGATATTTCAGACTCTATAAAGGATATTCCGCACTTCTCTTGTTCTCAGTGCCAAAGAACTATGTCAGATTTGGTGCATTCTCATATGCCAGAACTCACTTCTTCCCAGATACCAAAAAGAAGTTGCATACTTTCGCATGTGGTCTCCTAGCAGGAGCTTCTGAAGCTTTGTTTGTGGTTACTCCTCAGGAGACCCTCAAGACTAAGCTGATCCACGATATGCTCAGTGAAAATCCAAAGTATAGAAACGTGTTCCACGGTATCTACAGTATTGCCAAGACTCAAGGATTCTGGGGAGTCTATGCTGGACCCTTGGCCACTGTCTTCAAGCAATCAACCAATCAAGGAGTGAGGTTTGTGGTCTTCGAGGACGCACAAAAAGTCATGAACAACATTATCCCAATCAAAGTAGTTGCAGACTTGACTGCAGGAGCCATTGCCGGAACTGCCAGTGTTTTGGTAAACAACCCAATCGACGTTATCAAGACCAATCTCCAAGGACTTGAGGCTCATAAATACAAAGGATTAATGGACTGCTTCGGTCAAATCATGCAAAAGGAAGGACCAATGGGATTCTACAAAGGTGTTGGACCAAGATTAGCCAGAGTCACTCTCGATGTCGGTCTCACATTCGCCATCTTCAATTCTTTGAAGAGAAAGCTCATCCAGCTGGTATCTAAGGAGTAAGCAGGGACACTATTAGTTCATTAATGGCCTTTTCGAGTTGATTCATGTGTCTTTTATTTACATTACTTAGCATTTCAAGCAGATAAGGTCACAAAGGGGTTTTGGGGTTTTGGGGTTTTGGGGTTTTGGGG